CCAAGGACAGATGATAACAGCGCATAACTTAACTAACAAGAGCGTGCAAATAGTTGACAGAACAGGGTTTAGGCGAGATATCAAAAAGACAAAATTTACTAATATCCACAAAAAAGCTGTGTGCAACTATTATCGCCAAATTTTTAAAAAAGAAGATCTATGATAATATATTTAAGAGTTTTGGATAAATGATACAGCGTGGTAGAAATTTCTGGAAATATTGGATGGAAACGCGAGATTTTACGTTCCCATATATATTGCTGGGGTTATACTAGGTCGCAGTTTGGATGGAGTTTGAAGGATCCGACTACGGTGTTGCTGTGATAAGTTTTTTTTACCTGTCTCTTGGGCATAACGGTATTTTGTTATTGTGTTTCTTTTTTTAGTTTCTGTATTTGGCTTTGTTGTTGAGAATATAAATTTTGCATCGTAGATATTAAATCCTTTATTGCATGTAAACATCTCGTCATAATTACGGCTCTCTTATTTTGATAAAGAACCTGTATATACAAACAACAATATCGCCAAATTCTCCTCCTGGCCTAATTTACAAAATCACCTCCCCTGCCCTGTGTAACTCTTACTCTTCCTCACTATAAGGCCATCTTATTTTTGATTGTGATTTCTTTTCATCTTTAATTTCCCATATGTATTTTGACAGGGCAGTGTTATTACAATATCTTCCTAATCAGAAGGATGTTACATAGTTATTGAAACATTCTTTTATTCGTAATTAAATCAATTTTCTGGTTATGACCCTTACTGATCTTCTTCATATTGGACATAACTAATTTTATAATATAATTGTTAAAGATTTTTATAGAACTCAAATAATTTATATAATTTATATATACGAGGTGTAATAGCAAAATTGTCCAAATCATGTAAGAACATAATGGTCCATCCCACAAAATATTTAGTATCTAAAAAGAAAACAATAAACTGTTTCATTTTACCAGGTTTTTCGATAAACCGTTTAGCCCTTGTGATACCATTTGTCATAAGAATCACTGAAGAACCATTTGAGTTATTCAGCTAGAAAGAGAACAGGTTAAACACTGCCTTCCTAAATGAGCAATGGTGAGAGGAAAAAGAGAATTCAGGTCTACAGCATACATACTCTTGCTTCGATCGCAAAAGTCCATTCAAGAATCATCAGGAGAACAGTTAATTAAGTTTAAAAAGAAGGAACAGTAGAGAGGAAAATGGAATCAGGAGGTCACAACAGGAAATGGGATCACATTGCAACTTAGAACTTTTCAGATCAATTAGAAAAGATCCAACTCAATCCATTAGACGTTTGCCACGTGATAGGGGAGTTTCAGCTATGACAATCTAAAGAGCAGTGAAAAAGACTTGAAAATGAAATCGTACGTGAAACACGTCAGGTAATTTGTTACTCCAAGACAGAAAGTTAGAAGATTAGAAAGGACGAAGATTATCTTGAATAAGTTGGAAAATGGTCCAGAAAATAATATATATATATATATATATATATATATATATATATTAATTAATTAATTTCAATCATTCATGAGCCTGATCCTTTCCTTGGATTAATTAATGATGAACATGTCATTTTCGTTTATGATCGATTTCATCACGATTCTTCTGTTAAGCTTGGAAAGTAAATTTACGTTTTTATTGTTCAAAGTAGAGTCCATTAGTGTTATAAATACCTCGGTGAATTCCAGTAAGATATCTTTAACCATTTCTAAGACACAACGGTTCAAATCTTAATCTAACAATTTTGTTGTCACACGCAGTATATATATATATATATATATATATATATATATATATATATATATATATATATATATATCAGTAACGAAAATCTTGGTAATCCGTATGGATAATCCCAAGGAGGATGAAATCCGGAGAGCTCAATATTAAATCAGAGCGAATAATTTAATTTAAAGAAAAAACAGACCACTTTGAGGTTCCATTGCTATAATTTATTTTACCAGAGATTTTATTTTTTGGGGGATCTTCAGACTTCACTTTCAAGTGTGATAAAATGAATTCAAAATTTACAATTTTGAATGGCAGTATTAAGCTTATATAAGGTGACATAGAGGGTGGTGAAGGATATTGTAAGAGACATAGTCGAAACTAAAGAGTTTTAAAAATTATTTTTATTTTTAATACAATACTTAATATTGAGGAGGAGGTGGGTAAAGATCAGACACTGACCTATTTAATCGGTCAACTCACCGGAAAAGTTACGGGAAAAAAAACGAAAAAAGAAATAAAAAAAGGGGGAAGTAAAGAGATAAGAAATAAGAGATGGACGTACGGTTTTGAAGGAAGGAGAGGGATGGTATAGATGTTTGGGCAATTTAGAAAAACACAGATTTTAATATTTGATAGCAATTTAAATGTTTAAATCCTCCACAAATTACCCAGATTTAAGGCTTGATAGTAATTTAAATATTCAAATTCTCCACAAATAAATTAGGGATTTAATATAGACTGTAGTGGGGCCGTGGAGGTTACCACTTGTTGAGGGTTCATGGCGTGGCTGTTAGCTGTTGTTGATCGAAGTCAGACGTAGAAGAAACGCAAGTTAGGTTCAGATGCTCCTGCCCGCCGGGCCCAACTACATAAAAAGGTTGGACTTTGATTGAGTCCAAAGAAGAAGGCAAAGAAAAGCAAACAAAACACAAGACCGATAATATATGTATATACAAATATAATTTAATAACAAGTTACAATACATGGAAACAGTACAAAGGACGAAGTGTGTGTGTGAATATTCTGTATGTGCGTGCGTGTGTGAATATTCTGTATGTGCCTGCGTGTGTGTGTATTGTGCTTAGCGTGTTTCCACGCTATCCCTTGTTAGCGCCTACATTTCGAGGTTGATAGCTGAAATCCTGAAGAAAAAAGAGATAGAGGCGAATGGTCAGCGGCTATTTATAGCCAGGGAAGAGAGACCCCTAGTGAAAGGGTTAACGGACTGAAGGAGAAGTTAACTCCGACAAGACTGAATATTATAATAATAAGTAAATATAAAAATAAAAAAAAATACTAATAGTAATATTTCAATATTGTGAATGACGGTTAGGGTAAAGTCTTTTTATTTAGAGTCTAATTCATCAATTTAATCTGAAACTATTTTTAGATGAGTAATATTTCTTAATATAAGTTTAAGATTCAAATTTACCGTTTTTATATACACACACCGCATATATATTTACGTAAATACACATATATTCGTAAACAAGTACAATTACATATATAACCACATACACATGTATCGATTCACATTGGTATACACGCACATACATACACAAATATTTACATATACATATTTTCACACGCATCCATCTTAATACATATTTAAATTTTCTCTTAAATTTTACAGTTGATGTTAGATAGTGAATTAAGTGTTTAAATTTAAAAAAAAAAGAAGATATATTTAATTTTAACTTTTTTAATATCGTGAATAATGTTTATGGAGTAATATTTTTAAATATTTTTAATTTAAATCTAAGTGATCAATTTAAATTTAAATTATCTCCAGATGAGTAAAATTTCTAATTGTTCAAGTTTAATGTTTCAGTATTAAGCATTGTAATAAAAATATATTTTAAAACTCTCCCTTCCCTCTCTAATTTCGACCATGTCTCTCAGACTATACCTAACCACCCTCTAAGTCACCGTAAGTAAGCTTAATACTGCACTTCAAAAGTGTAAATTTTAAATTCATTTTTTCACCCTTGAAAATGAAGTCGGAAGATCCAGAGAAAAATAAAATCTCTGGTGAAATAAATAAAAACTTTAATTCTAGTCATTTATTTATTTTCACATCAATTTCTCTCTGTTTTGTTTCTTCAGATCGCTTCTTTTGTTTTCTCTTTCGCTTCTTCACTTTGCATTTTAATGGTTATTCCAGGTTGTGAGAATTTCTTCTCACACAGTTTAACCATTGGCAGAGACAAGAAAAGACATACAATTAACAAAGCCTACCTTAAAATTTAAAACAAATTTTATTGCGTCTTTGCAAAAAAAAAAAAAATAATGCCCTTTTTTTGCCCCTGTGAATAGGGTGGGATAGTTTCTTTAAAGAAGAGGTAGTGATTTTTTTCTTCTGTTGGACTCAATTGGTCTCTACGTAGTTGGAGAAGCAGGAACTTGCTGGTCGTTGCAGGAGCATTACCATTTCGGTTGCTGAAGTTGAAACTCGGTTATTGTCGAGATCATGCAGAAAGTTCTTCGTGTTGAAAGTACACATTAAACGACAGTCAATAAACTGACTGAATTATACAGCCTTGAAAGTATTGAAGAAGCTGGAACATGACGTCGTCGCAGGAGCATTACCATTTTGGTTGCTGAAGAAGAATCATTGCCTAGTTATTTAGACTTAATTTTGGGCGCTAAAGGCCCTGCAAAGAGATTCGAATATGAGTCCTGACATTTCCAATATTTTGCAGCAACTGCCAAAAAAGGGCACTGGCCGTTGAAAATGCCCGCGAATTGCAAAGTCCAATTCAACCAATGAGATTAGTCGTTACAAAATACTGTGTGGCATAAATTAGCCAATAGGAGCTTAAATTGCAGAATTTCTCACAAGGTTAAGGATCTAACAGTTCTCATTTATCTTTCTCTTTCCTTTTTTTTATTTTATTTAACCTTTTGTCTTCCTCGTCTCTCTCCTGTACCAACGTTTTCCAAATGACATCATTTTGTTATCTGCTTTTTATTTCTTAGCGCTTTCGTGTCATCTTTCTTTTTTTTTCAATGATGCAATCTCTATCAGTTGAATATCGTTTTCTTCTGATTTCCCGCCACTTATAATCTTTGTCTTTATTACGTTCTCTTTTTTGGTCATGTCTTGTTGCTATTATTATTAATTTAACATAACTTAATTTATTTAAATTACTTATAATAAGAAATCATCTACAATTCCTCAAAATACGAGGTCGATGGTGAGAAAAAAGCTCCAATATAAAGTCTAGATTCCGTTGAAAAAATAACAACCGTCACAGCAAATATTAAACCATAATGATGCAAGGAAGAACGTACAAATAAAAAAAAAAGGAATGTAAAAAAAAGAAAGAAAGAATGATACAGACAAAACAAAAAAAGAAAGAAATGAAGAAAATGTAGTGAAAAGAAAAAATCCCATTAAACAAAACGAAAGAAACAAAAAAAGAAAAAAAGAATGAATAACTGAATAAAAGAGAGAGAAATGCAGTCAAAGTCACGAAACAAAGCATAAAACAGGAAAGAAAGAATGAAGACAAAATAAAGAAAGAGACACTGAAATTATGAAATAAAAAATAAAGAAGAAAAGGGAGGGGGAAATAAAGAAAGAAGTTTAAATGTAGTGAAAAGAAAAAAAGGAGGGTATAAAAAAAGAAAGAAAGAAAGAAAGAAAGAAAGAAAGAAAGAAAGAAAGGAAGAAAGAAAGAAAATGCAGTCAAAAGAAAGATATAAAACATGGAACAGATGCGGGAAAGAAAGAGAAACGCAGTCAACGAAAAATAGCATAAAACAAAAGGAAAGAAAGAACGAAAGAAATAATAAATAAACACGTCGTCAAAAGAAAGAAAGACTATGAAATAAAGAAGAAAGAAAGAAAGAATCTTAGCATGAAATATAAAAGAAAAACGTGAAAAGTAAAGTATATAAATATAGCATAAAATGCGAAAGAAAACGAGACAGAAAAAACTGTTGTCAGAAAGAAAATACATAAAACTGAATTGACACAATATAAGTATGAATTAGATATACTGACAGACAAAAAAGAAATTGAATAATAAAAGACAATTGTACATATGTTTATATAGAAGCAATATACAAATCAACGTAATGTTCATTCAACGTGTTATGCATAGATACAATATCAAACGTAGAAAATAAGCCATTGATGTAAAGGCGGGTATATTTTTGACTCGACAAGAAAGTCAATTGTTGTTTAAGATCAGCTATTATGATAAAAAAAATGGATTAATAATATGAGAATAACTTGGAACTTGTTCTTCCTGTTTATCTCTTTGTCTTTCTTTCATTCTCCACTGTCTGAATCACTGGACCTAATAATAAAACTCTCAGTAGCTTTTCTATAAACAGAGAAAGCGCTTATCTACCTATTGCACTTCTTTATGGCGCTATCTTTTGAAGTGTTGCTCATTCAGTGCACGATTGAGGCTTTGCCAACAACCTGATCTTCCAAGACGAATTGGCCGGTCAGTTTCTGTTTGGAATATTAAAACGCGTTTCTTGAGCAAAACGAAACATTTCATTGTCTTTTTTTTTTGTTTGTTTCCCCTGTCAATTTCGGCACCTGGAGACTGTTTTTTTTCTTCGAATCAGACATACTATTCTCATCGTTCACGATCTGCTCAAGGGAGATAACTTTTACTACATCAAGAGGGCCACTGGCCTTTGCCGGAAAGACTGCTCAAAACGGAATTATAATTAATTTTATTCTGATAAAAATAAAAATATCTTTTTTCATATTAGTCAGGCATGACAATCCACTTCTCTAGTCAATTACATTTTTAAGAGTTAAATATTTAGTGAAAGCTTTACATTTTTAGCCTTAACGCAGACGATACAAACCTGATTCAGTTGGGAGATTTTTCCGTGTATAGTTTTTGTAGCAATTGAATTCAGTAAATACAAAAACATAGAAACGATGCGTCTTTTCACGAAACTTATTCAACCTTTACAGTGAGGTGATCTTGAGTGAATTAAAAGTCGAAACAGCATTCATTGCTAGCGACCACAATATTTACAAGATATGCCTTAGTGTTGATAGCACACAGAGAAAGAAACCTGCAGTAAATCGCAGAGAAGATAGTAAATGAAAAACGAGAAAAAAGGACTAACAATCAATTGGAATAAGATTTAAGTTATGGGTGTTCACAGAAATTACCCGGTGAGCCGGGAAAAAGAATTAAGAAATTCATGAGCCTATATCATATTTTTTCCTTTCTTAGAAATTACCAAGTGATCCGAGAAAAAGAATTAAGAAATTTGTGAGCAAATGTGAAATATTTCTGATCAATAAAAACTTTGCCTTGACCCGAGAAATGTGAAATGTTTTTTGACCAATGAAAACCTTACGTTCAAAGAAATTAGCTGGTCATCCAAGTAGAAGAAAGAAAGCAGCCGGCCTACACGGAATTGTTTTTATATAAATGAAGAGGAAATGAAAATAATAAGAAAAGTGTCTGAAGTCATGTGAAAGATTTCGTTCCAGTTCTTCACGACCAGTGTAAAATTACACGCCAGTTATATTAACGGCTCCTAACCAGCATGCAGCACTTCAAAGAAAGGCTAAGTATTTCAAACTATCTCTATTCGTCTACGATCTATCTTACTTTTGTCTAAATATTTCTGAATATATGTATGAACATTTCCTCTACATGAAAATACGTTAAAACTACGGACATTAAGAATTCTGATTTACTCTCCTGCAACTAGTACTACTTTAAGCGTCTAAATTCGTGAATAAATTCCTTATCTTGCTTTGTTAAAATTACCCGTGTGTTTTCACGTCATTACCATCCTTCATTAATCTTCATATTGTGAGTAAATCAACTGTTAATTTTAATCCCTAAGTCCCACGCCACTATATGAGCTTATGTAAATGGATGGCACCTACTTGGAATTCTAATTTCTGCGGGCTGTCTTAGAAACTCCAGCTCCAGATTTGGCTTCAGGGTTTACCCCGAAGCCATTACTATGATTGTGTATGGCCACAAGGCAGCGGAGATTTAAAATCAGTGTTTTTCTTCTCTCAGATAAACTAGCCATTTGGGCTGACATACAGTGTTGTTCGATAAAAGTGACTCACCAGCAGTCACTCGAACAAGCAGCGAACAAGTTAATTCTCTAGTGGAACGAGAGTAAGACAGAATATATCTCAACCTCTCCTAAGCCATCTGATTTGAAGTCACTCAATAATACACCCATCAAAAGAGTTGAGGACTTGAAATACCTTGGATCTCAAATAATAAACTCCCAACTTCCGCAATGCTTTGGCATGGGATGCGTGTAACAAACTTCACAAAATTTGGCGCTCGAACCTTCCATCATCTTAAATGTCCAAACTTTTCAAATATAGATTGAACCAGTCCTACTGTATGGATCAGAAACTTAGACATTATCTGTTCATCTTGAAAAACGACTGGATGGAATATATACAAATCTACTTGGAAAAATCCAGAACATCAGTTGGAGATCCCATGCAACGCTTAACACAATTTACGGAGAAGTGAGACCAATCTCTCTTAAGCTCAAACAAAAACGACTACAGTTTGCTTGCCACTGTTACCGAGCGGACAGAGTCATCTCATCCTTACTTTTAAGGCATCCTTCTGGAAATGTCTTATCCCGAAAATGGACTTTCCCAGAAACCCTAGCTCGGGTTGAACATCGGAGATCTGGGGACAGCAAAACAGGACCGAACAGTGTGGAAAGGGATTGTCAATGGAGTTCCGTCCAACCATAGGGAGGTCGAAGGATGATGATGAAATGGATGGCAGAACAGGAACTGGAATATATAACGAAAAGACAAATTTTAATAAGAGCTACAAGGTATTGAACATTGTGGAGAGCTACAAACGCCCAGTTTGTGAAGAGACACGGCACATAATTTTATAAGAAATAATGCTAACCTGTCGTAGTTTTCTTGTTGTATGTACCACATCCCTTAAGGACGTGCATGATCATGTCTCCTTACTAAACCTGTCTATAGATAGATAGATAGATAGATAGATAGATAGATAGAGACAGACAGACAGACAGAGAAGGGATAAAATAGTAAATATATTAAAAATTGGAAAATCAACGTCGCCTTATTTAACAATAACGTTTATCGAGTAGATGAAGCTCGACAACAAGATGAAGGAAAACTTAATTTTAAACACGACAAAAATTATAGAATTAAATCTAGACTGAAAAACTGTTGAGGAGCCCCGAAGCGGGTTGGCTGTCACCACTGACAACTTTCCTGTAACTCCTGCAGCTAAACCGTCACCATATATAATGCCGTGTATTAATTTCGATCTTGTTGGTACAACTGAGAGAGGAGGAATATAATCTGCGCTGTGCACAACATCCATATATTACCGCTCAAGCCTTGCCATCCTGTAGAGGTCATTCCAGTTTTACCACGAGTATTAGCGCATTTTATCTAAACAGGATACCTTTAAAGTATGTCTATATTTCTGAGATGAGGTATTATGTAATATCTCGAACAGAGAATGGGTTCAAGACATCCGTATACCGTAAACCAACATTCACCGGACAGTACCTCAATTTCAACTCCCACCATCCATACAGCGTAAAGAAAGGGATCGTCCGATGCTTACAACACCGAGCAAAAGTCATAAGTGGCGATCCAGAGACGTTAGATAAGGAATTGGTCAGTATAAGTAGTACCCTACAACGCAACAACTACCCTGGGTACATGGCAGCAGCCCCAAAAAACTGGGATAGGCGGGTACAAGAGGAGGAGGAGGAGGAGGACAACAACACTCAGGAAACAGTCTGCCTGCCTTATGTGAAGGGGTTATCAGAGAAAATACAAAGGATCTGCGGTCCATATAACATCAGGACAACCTTCAAAAGCGTGACAACACTTCTGCAGATATCTCTCACGAGTAAGACCCCCATAGAGAGGAACATGACTAAAGACTGTGTACGCTATCCCATGCAGCTGCGGAAAGGAATATAAAGGAGAGACAGGCCCCCCTCAAGGTAAGGCTTCAAGAACACCAGAAAGCTGTAACGCGAGGGGAAGTAGAAAATCAGGCGTGGCTGACCACATATGGAGAGAGAAGGAGATCACCGCCCCTGTGGGATCATGTTGAGATCATAGACAGGGAAAACCATTGGAAAATTCGTAAACTTAAGGAATCAGCACATATGCTAGGCCACAAAAATCTCCTGAGCCGACCAAGCATAGAAATAAATACAATATGGGACCCAGTAATAAGGAGTGCCAGAGAAAAGCAATGATAACAAAGTTGCAATATGAACTCTGGTAAAGACATGCAATGATAACAGCAAAAAATTGCAATATGAGCACTGGTAAAAATGATGCTGAAAACATTAGGTTTATAATACTCAGAAGTTCATAGCCAGATGTCCTCAAGGACACATGGCACAGTGGATAAAGGCGTTGGTTAGATCCAGTGACAGACTCAAAGAAGGTGAGTTCAATTCCTGGTTAAGGCAGTGGAGAAAATTAGCAGGAGATAACTGATAACTGACATCCATCAAACATGGCACGTGAAATTAGAACAGTTTACCCCAGCGATCGAAATAAAGGGTTCGGTTCGAAATTCCAACCACCTGAAGAAGGCCGGAGCGTACAACGGCCGAAACGTTGTGACAAATATGGCGACAAAGATGAGGACAATAGTCCGACTAATGTAAATACTGCAGGATACCTTTTACTTGCAAGATACACGGATGCTAAGTTTTTTTTTTTTTTCAATTAGAATTTAGTAATCTCAACTTACGAAGTCTGTGTGAAAAGTAACCTATTTATTTATTTATTTAAATTCCACACAACAAACTAAATGCTTTTCCCTCAAGTCTAATGCACCTACCGTTTTCTAGCATACTTTTAGGCAAGGCTGGAAAGATTCTTCTTGGTGTCCCTCAGCTCCATCGTTACGGCTCTCTTGATGATACTCATAAGCTTGGGGAAAGTAAAAGTCACCCAGAGCAAGCTCCAGTACGGTGATGTTCTTTTCGGTCAGGAACTGCCAGATGCTCAGGGCGTTGTGAGCAGGTGCAACGATGTGTGGGATCAGCCGCGATTTATCCTGCCACAAGTCTCGTCTCTTCTCGCGCACTGAGCGAAGCAAACGCTAAGATTACAGTTGTATACTCCCAAGGTATCATGTTAGATGATAATATAATCCCCTTATCAATGTTTAGTCCATAACTGATGCAGCACACACAGTCCCGTTACTTTTTAGACAAACATCGTATTTTGTTTGAGGTTTTTAATCCACCATTGTTTCAGCACTAATTTACTAAGAACACGTGATAAACTGAAGTAGCCTCGTTTTATATTAATCACAGTGAGGTTTATAGACCATTATACGTTTAATACGCCTTTGGCTCGAGGAAATTATATTCATTTTATAAAAATGAATTTTCCAGGTAAACATTGTGGTCAGGAAGATTTCATTGTGTGCGTGATGTAATTTTCAATCACTTTTATGTTCGGATATTCTTTTATCTAACTTTTTGCGTGTCAGTGTTGTTATTTACTAAGTTAACCCGTGTCTACAGTAAAGAATCTCTGTGGGGATCAAACTCACGGGTTAGCTTAGTAGCCATTGCTGATACCATTTAGCTAAGTACTGTTCAAAGGAAGTCGCGTGTGGCAGCCAAGGGTTCAAATTTCCAATAACAGTACAACATTCAAACAAACTGAAATAGACACACACACACACACACACACACACACACACACACACACACACACAAGCTAGTAACGTTTGATAATTTTTCTCCAGTCCTGATGAACATCTATGCTCTCAATTAGGCTCTTTGCCTTGAATGTTCAAAGCAAGGATTGGGATTAAGGCTCACTCCAGACCTCAATCGGAACTCGTAAATAGAAACCGTCGATAAAGATGCTGGGAAAAATGGCCGGATTCTTGTACCGTTTCAGAATCTACCCGACTCCACTTGGCATGCTTTATCGTTTCAAGAGTCAAATCAGAGCAAAATGCCCAATCCACACTTTCGATCCTTGACAGAGTTCAAAAGCGTTTACGCGCCTATGGGATGATGAATTATTTCCAGCCCAACAATCGCTTTCTCACATACGACACGTTGCTAGCTTTTGATTACTCGATCGCTATTTCTAATTATTCCATACTTCCACCAGTTCAGGCCTTCACAGCTAAAACTCACCAGGCCACACATACAAAACCAACTAATCCTCATTCTCGGGCTTATGGCCCCATCATTTTGAAACACCGGTTCCTGTACGATTACAGAAGTTAAACAACGTCGAGCTTGGTGAGTATCCAGATGGGTGAACGCTTGGGAATAATAGATGATGTAGGCTTAGATGTGCAGGTGGTGCAATGGATAATGGCTTCAAATTGTTAATCGGAGAGCAAGTTTCAATTCCAGTTTGGTTCGTTAAATTTACTTAATCTTGGGAATGGTATGAAATCACCTCTTCTCCTCCCAGCTATAAGTTAATTAGTAAGAAATATATCACTAAAACTATCATTATCTTTTAAAAATACGCACGAAATATTTAGATTTCGGTATTCTATAACCCATAGAGGAGTGAATAATGCAGCTAAACGAAAACAAGCAACCAATCAATCATCTTCATTCATATTGGTAAGTAGGAAATTTCACTCAGCTTCTTCCTAACAACTGCTACGTTGTGGAACAAACTCACGAGAGGATGGTTCCTTGATTCCTATGATCTTAACCTCTTCACGTCTAGGATCAAGTGTTATCAATCCTACATATCCAGATGTCCCACTTCTTTCATTTCCGCATTTACAACGAACTCATTCAGTAACCCTTTTCTCTCCCTCGAGAGGCTTAAGAAACAGAAAAGATTTATTAGGAACAAAGAATAAAGTACTGAAACGTTATGTAATATCAGTCCTTCTTTATGGCAGATGAAGAAGAGACTGAAAGCAACGGAAAAGGTGGAACGAAGCTGAGAATACAACGGGCCGAACATGTGAGCAACGATGAAATTTTAGAGAAAATAGAAACAAAAAGGACACCTCTGCTTAACATCAGGAAAAGAAATTTAAAATCTCTTGGGCATATAATGAGGAAGAATGCGTTGGATAATTTGATATTCACAGGACAGAGTGAAAGGAAGAGGAACAAAGGAGAACAACGCATGACCTTAGAGAGCTTAGGTAAATGAACGACTGAGCAAGGTTTAGTAGAGATACCTAAAAGACAAAATTTATTAAAAGCTGAAAAGGACAGAGCATTGTGGAGAGCGATGATAGCCAAGGTGCTGAAGGGATCACGGTACATAGAAGAAGAAGATTGGTTGAACAATGCTAGCAGAAAAAGCTGTTACTTTACGATGGAACCCGAACCAAATTACTTGTTTAGCTTGAAGTAATCTACTACAATGTCCAAGTTTGGATAAGTAGATAAACATTGTTCTCCAGCGAGTCGCCCATAATTATTTGAGACAGTGTTCATGTCCTTCGCACCTAGTGAGAATCAAACTCATCACTGTCATTAATATATCAGGTCATCCCATAAGTTCTGTCCGAATTTTGAATAAAGGAAACAAGTGACCAAATGTTACATTTAATTACAGATTCAATCAACAATGTATTTTCCCTGATTATCTATGTCGTTCTTCCATCTATTAACAAGCTTACTAATTCCATTACAGTAAAATGCTTTTGGCTCTGATTCAAAGAACTCACAAATGTCAGTTTTAACCTCTTCCTGTGTTACAAAAGCTGTTTCTTCCAAATGATTCTGTAAGCTACGAAACAAATGGTAGTCTGAAGGAGCAAGATCGGGTGAATAAGGTGGATGAGGAATTTTCTTCCAACCAAGTTCTTCGATCTTTTGTGACGTGATTCTTGCTGTGTGGGGTCGCGCATTGTCCTGATGAAACATCACCTCTTTTCGATTCACTAGAGCAGGACTTTTTTTCCTCAAAGCTTGGTTCAAACGCTCTAATTGCTGACAGTATATTTGAGCATTAATTGTTGCATTAGGTAGTAAGAATTCAAAGTGGATTATTCCTTGGCGATCCCACCAGACTGAAAGAAGAACCTTTTGCCTATGAAGTTCCCTTCTCGGCCATGGCTTGGGTCCTTCCTCTTTACCAAGCCACCGTCTGCGACGCTTAGCATTTCGATAAAAGATTCAGTCGCCAGTCACAAGTCTATCCAAAAAAGGTGAAACAAGTTGGCGAGAATGGAGAGAAGAGCAGATGTCAACTCGGGATTTGAGGTTGTTTTCAGACAATTCATGAGGCACCCATTTTCCAAGTTTAGGAACTTTTCCAAGTTGTTGAAGATGACGATGAACAGTTATATGGTTTGAACTGAGAACCACTGCCAATTCCTCAACTGATAAAGCAGGATTTTCTTCAAGGGCTGATTCAATAAGCTTTTCATCAAACTCAACTGGACGTCCGGTTCGATCTTCATCGTCAAGGGTGAAATCTCCACCTCTGAATTTTTCAAACCATCTTCTGCAAGTTCTTTCATTCACACATTCCTCTCCATAAACTGAGTGACTGTTTCTAGCCGCTTCGGCTGCTGAGTTTCCTTTCTTGAAATCATAAAGCATTATGTGCCTCAAATGATTCTTGGGTATTTCCATGTTAGCAGGGTTTTAATCAAACAAAATTTTATTTTATTTTTTTTAAATAAAATTTGATCAGTTTAAATGCATCTAAACATAAAAATAATCTTCAGCTCCATTAGACATTATAAAATACTCTTTAAATTTCGTTCATTTTAACAAAAAGTTAAAATTCCGACAGAACTTATGGGATGACCGTATAGTTACAGTAAGGGCGCTAAATATAGCTCTAGGACTAAGACTCAAGAAACAAGAGTAATAAAACTGCGGGGTTCGGCTGAAAAGTTCAGAGACTGACTATGAAGGAGGGATGCTAGACCTACAAAATCTTGCATGAATTAATTTCAACGCATCTTGTTAATAATTGCTTTGTTTCTATCCAGGTAAACTGACATCTGACTATCCAAAGAAACAATTCTAAAGTAACCAGTTGCGACTTATCTTGAAAATCGACAAAATTAGGAAGGATGGTTGTTGGGGCGCAACCACCTTCTGAATGAAAATGAACTTATCCCTCTACGATATAAGTCAGTGTTAGAGAGAGTAGGTGTGTTGTGTGAAGGATCAGGTTCAGCGACAGCAGTCGAGATCAGGTTACCATTACCTACCGTTGGACTGTAGACTTTTGCTATTGTTACTTACTAACTGGCGTTCCTTATTACTAATCACTCTGTTGTTAATTACCTCTTACAAATATCCCAGTATTTATCCCTACAACTGTGTTTGTCTTTATTCGAATACACACACGCGGGAACACTCCCAACAACTCAACAGTGGTGTTATCAAGCATCTGCAGAAAAAAAAAAGTGGACATTTATACTGACCTATTTACGACATCAGAAAATAACGCCCCCGCTTTATTAAGTGTATAAGTGGGCAATTGAAATAAGAAGGAGACTTTAACTGTGACATCTTAAAATCACGTATTATTCTTTATCCATATTGATTATTCTCCTAATCCCTACATCTTGATTATTCTCCTAATCCCTACATCTTAGCAATTCTTTCGCTCATATCATGCACCTTATTTATCGTTACCATTTTGGCTTTAATCCTCTAACTTGAGCGGCTGTTGAGTCTTATGTTGAGCCATATTTAGTTAAAAAAATAAAAATAAAATGACTATAGACAAATAATATGAAAATATAGGGTGATTTAGATAGGACCAGTGATTGAGAAAATTACGAAATTCAAACTGTTGCCTGAAGTCGGCTTCCGGGCGCAAGTAAAAGTCAGGATTTTCAAATATCGATTTTCGAGGCGAACAAGTCCACCCCAATTAAGCAACCAACGTAATATAATTTTATTCTTTTCTCTTTCGCCTAAACATATGTTTTTTCTTCGCCATATTTAGCTATGCATAGCGAGATATGGAAAAAATAGAATGTTTAAACATACTTAATTAGATTTCTGTTCAACCTACCGACATTTGAAAAATTCATAATTGAACAGTTTGACATTATGACGGGCCTCAGAACGTTTTGTAAACAAGCAGCCAAGGCTGTCAACTAAAATTAGGCGTTTAGCTTCTAGACACGATTTCCATTAATTTTAAAGAGGACGGAAAATGGCGTATAATGAAAGATTTTTCGTAATTCTGCACATGCGCCTAAAGGTGTCTGGGACGAAAATATCCCAATTTGCACAAAAATGAAAAATTCATGAATGTGTATTCCAGAATGTTTTTCTACGAATCTGCGAAGAACAATATCATCATAAATGAAAAGAAAGTCCCGTCTATTATTTCTCATTCATATATAATAACATTATATTTAAAAAGGAAGCGTAATATATATATATATATATATATATATATATATATATATATATATATATATATATATTTTATTTAAAAAATTATAACATAAAATGTTATAAAATCACTACAAAATAGCCATTTTGTTTCAACACCTCCGGTGTCTTATCAAAGTGATGATGTTGAATGTAAAATAAATGGTTTAAAAAAGATTTTAAATTAATTAATGATCCTTTGCAAAGGGAAAACGTTGCTAGCTTTTGTAACAACGTTTTCCCCTTGCGAAGGACCGTTAATTAATTTGAAACTTTTAAAACCATTTATTTTACATTCAACATCTTCACTTGATAAGACACGGAAAGTGTTGAAACAAAATGGCTATTTTTGTAGTGATTTTATAACATATTTATGTTATAATTTTTAAAATAAATAATTATATCTACTCTACACTGTATTGAGCACTCTTTTAAGAATAGTAATTGTTGGTTATTGGAATTCATTCCATATATATATAGTATTGAGTATATACATATAGATAGATAGATAGATAGATAGATAGATAGATAAAAGTGAACATTGAAGTCAACACTTAAAGGCGACAGGCTGCTTCATGCTAGACGCAATCATCAGGCCACCATAAAAGTGGACATTTATGTTGACATGTTTGCGACATCAGAGAATAACGTCCCAGCTTTATCAACAGTGTATCAGTGAGCAGTTGAAATAAGAAGGTGTAGGATACTTTAACTGTGACATCTCAAATCACTTATTATTCTCTATCTATCCTGATTATTATCCTAATCAAATTACTTGTGCCTGACGATTGCGTCTAGCATGAAACAGCCTGTCGCCTCTAAGTGTGGACATCAATCTTCACTTTTATATTTACACACCCTCAATCTCTGATATTGACCACATTCTCCCATAAATATAACACATCTTACGAGTATATTTCTCAATATATATATATTATATATATATATATA